GCACGTCCGTCCTTATCGCTTCATCCCCTATTTTCACAAATAATATCGCACCTCGCGCTCACACGTAATCTTTCACGTTTATGCATCAAGAGAGGTCCAGATCACCTACGTCACAGCCGGCATCACGGTGGACACGCTGCGCGAGGAGATGCGGACGATATGTGGATTCGGAGCTGCACGTTCGGGCACGGAACCCGATCAATTCACGATGAAGTGGGTGGACGACGAGGGGGATCCTTGCAGGATCACCTCCCAGCACGAGCTGGACGAAGCCCTGAGGCTCTACGAGATTGAAAAGGACACGGAAATCACGATACACGGTAAGAATACCTAAGACGGATTTAAAGAACTTTCCGAGTTACTTGCAAGCCAATTCAAACTAGTTTCAGGCATCAGATATATTCAGTTGAACCGATAGAAATGTTCCTGTTATTAGAATTGGTGGCAGAGTCAGTGGCGGTTGCCTTCTGGTACCGTTTCTTAGCTCGGCACACGTACGTGACACTGAGGGATCGGATACGAAGTCGATTCTCTATAAGCAGACTCCAGATTATACCAGTAAAATTTATTCCACCCGGCAGACGGCGCCATCTATTTCACAAAACTGGGTTGAACTCTCTGCTGTTCGATGAAATATAGGATGCACGAATTTGATCGTCGAATGGCGACAAGCCGCCTTACGAGCCGAAACAAGCGCGTTTATAGTGACAGGCTGTGTCGTGGGGGATGGAATCGATATACGTATACTTGAATATGTGCAGTGGAGAATTTCACTTGGTCTCTCACGAAAGGACGTGCTTGACCATTGCTGTGCTTGGTTCAGAGACGAACGAGCTTCGGTCTCGTGTACGTAGCGGGAGGCCATGCGATTTATGCGATAAAAATATATGGTACTTGTATTTTATGGGAGTCAAGGTTTCTTGGTAGTGTCTTTCCGATTGTGCTTATGGAAAAAGCGGAAACTCACGGCGCCCGGAACTTTCCGGTGGTCGATTATTCCGCCTTTCACCAGTTTCCGGTGGTGCAGGGCTGGTAGAGCGCAGTTATTTATTGCACTTTGTTATTTTGCTGGTGGCTCAGGCGGCGTGTAAGTGAAAAATAACGGTGGGCCGTGACTCCTAATAATTGTGGGAAACATTGGAATACGTGATTGGATCTATTCCGTGAGCAGCCTCCAAATTTTGGTAAGAAATGACTGAAGAGACCTCTAATTAATCGACTTTCTGCTGTCTGACGTGGGTGACCACTTGAGCACGGAAGCAGGTACCTGGGGCCTCGGATAGGTCGCGGTTAAAAAAAAAAAAAAAAACAATGTGGGCCATAGTCCGAGCTACTGAGCCAGGAACGCAGGAACGTGTAGTCTCGTAGAATGCCTTTTGAAAATACGTTTTCAGCGTGAATTCACATACCTTCCGTGCGGAGGAACGTTCGATCATCGCTGCTGTAAGAATAGTTGGAAGAAAGCTTTCAAGGATCCAAAACGTAGTAGAGGGGGGGAAAGGACGAGAAAAAAAAGTTCAAAGTCACTGGGGCGTAAGGAGACCCTTGGCGAAGCTGAATGCTGTAAATTTTCAGCGAAACGCACGGTTCGCTCCCAAGAATAGGAAATGCAATCAATGAAAAGTATAGTTCCCGCACGAGGAAGAACTCGAAGCCAGCACCCAAAAATTGATCAGCTTTAATCCAATGAAAAATATAAAGCATCGAGTGCGGTCGGACTGGTACTACTAATTCTTCGTAAATTTGATCTCACATGACGAATCCCATCGGAATGCCGTTGCCCACCCTCTCGAATCTATTGTATTTCGAAATAAGAAAAGCCATCCATATCCGGTTCCGTTCGAGATCCAAGTCTTGCGAGACTCGTGTTAAAGTGGCGCAATAGCAAGTGAAGCGCGCAGCCTGCCCGTCCGACAGGCGACTCAGGCAAGTCAGTCTCCAGGTACCTCGGGTTACTACGAAGCAAAGCCGACACCTAGAGCTATCCACCCACGGCATTAAATACAGGGAACCCGCGTGCTCGGAGTTTGCGCGGTAATGCGGCGAGTAGCGCGCGCCGGGCGGCGGCAGTACCGCTTTTGCTGCAGTCGATATCCCACTCGGTCCGATTGCCAGTATCGCGAACACCTCGGCGAATTCGATCCTCGACATACCGCGTACACGGTGACTATTGCTGATTCGTACGATCGGACCTGTCTCCGGACAGGACGGGCAAGCTGTTGAAGAGGCCGGGCAGTGCTGAACGTATTCTGGAAAGACCCCGAGGAGTGACGGTGAAAATTGACTGACCTAAACACAGGGCAGGCAGGCAGCCAAGCAGGCAAGCAGGAAAGGCCGGAATAGGGCAGCATGGCGTGGGGCTACTGGAGCGCGACTACCGTCGGCGACAGGGGTAGATCGCCCCGACGTGAAAAGGACAAGCAGAGTCTTCATCATCATCAGCAGCAGCAGCAGCAGCAGCAGCAACAGCAGCAAACTAACCAGTCGGATGCCTTGCAGAGTTGCTCCGGTGTACAGCAGTTGCAGAGTGAATTGGGTGCAGGTGCGAGCGAGGAACCACCCTGCAGCCTGATGATCCAGGGTGCTTCCTTTTACTCGTATTCGGCAGCCGCGGCCGCAGCGGCGGCGGCGGCTGCGGCTGCTGCCGCCGCCGCTGGAAGGAGAACCTCCGCCGTCGAAGGATGTTCCACTGCACTACAGGTTCTACCTAGGGAGCTACAGCCGCGACCTGGTTCTAGCAACTACCCGCCCTCGCCCTGTAGCGAATCCGCTGATTACGAGCAGCCCAGCCATCACAATAGTTATGCCCAGGACGGCCCTCACGCTGATTCCATTTTACCACCATCGGTCGCTGCCAGGTTGATGATGCTTCGGGATGACGACGAGGATGGCTCAGAAGGTGATCTCGACGACGCTACTGCCGCCGATATTATCTACGCTTCCAATAGTCGTGCACAACCTGGACCCAGTGGATGTCTCGTGCATGGTCCCTGTAATCCACTTCCGGAACCCGCACCTTCCGTTTCTTCACTGATCGGCGAGCACCACCCACCGGGATCCATTCCTGGATGCACCTCGCAATTCTGGTTCAACGATATCACCTGGGGTACGTTCACCAGGAACGTGCGATACTGCCATTCGCCTTGCCTATTATCTATCCGTAAATTTGACGTACTGTCAGGTTCGCTACTGAAAGTACCACTCTACGACTCTGCTTCGGATAGGTTAGGTAGGCCAGCACAGGTCCAAGTAGAGGCCTGGCTCAGACTCGCGGTAGAGGAAATAAGCAAATTAATATCTGCTCGTACTAATTTTTCCCGTTATTTACGTACAGTCATTGCGAAATATGTCCATTTTTATTTACTGCCCGTCAATTGATTTTCTGCCCAATTTGCAAATCACCGACCCAGTCATGTGCGGCTTATACATTGTGCTTGGTTTATGCGACTAACCTGTTTTAACCCAATGAACCAAGTTTGCGCTACAACGATAATGGCCACCTAGATCCTCCGTCGATTAACGCATCCGCGTCTTTTGTTCATTGTCCTTCAATCGTACCTGTCAACAGAAACTCTTATTATGCAACGTAACGCAATACATTAAAACGTTTCACAAAACTTTGCATGTTTACGCAGTTGCAAAATTTATCTAAGCAAAATTTACTAAAAAGAATTGGACGTCTCCAGCTTTCATGACTGCACCTGTCTTTCGAAAAAGGAAACGTTATCCAGGTGGGCGTCTGTTTACCAGTCTAACGTCTAATGACAGTTAAACATAACGTACATATATATTCCTACGCAAGTGCCATATAATGATTATATACAAACCCGTGACACACATATATATATACAGTGATGAAATACAGGTCAAACATAGATCCATCATAACTTACATACGTAACGATACTTAGCACTTTCCTAAAAGGGGCAGTTTCGCGATTCAATGTCAAAGGTCAATCCTGACACAAGAAATAAATTTTTAACTTATTCACAAGTCCAGTTACATTCGCGTTCACACCCAGTTTTTTTTGTACTAAGCTACTTCGTGACGTTTCATTACTCTCGCGGAAGGCGTATGTCTCTAGACCGGATGTGAGGTGTGACCCCTTCAGCGAGTGAGCAGTAAAATGTCATTACGGGGCTACAAAGCGTAACAAAATGAAATAGCTATGCGTATATTTTTTTTTCTCGTTCACAATTTACATTAGGCTTAATCGGGTATTATTATTTACGTAAAAAAAAAAGTTTAATTTAATTCGCGTTTTCCCTGCATCAAGTACAAATTAGAACCACGTGTCAGTCCTTCGTTAGAATAATGTAACGTGTCGGCGATACGCCATTGGATACGCTTACTCACGGATTGAATCGAGAAATCGCGAGACGATCGTGATACCAGCCAGCAATGTTATCAGGGCTGATGCCTTCCTAGGAATTAGATTTCCAGCGATTACGACATACGCGTAGTCGCTAAGGCGGAGGGAGTAGATAAAGCAGTCTGATTTAGAATCAGTCAGAATTTCTCGTACACATAACGGTAACAGAGCCCAGAGACATTGGAATTACGGGTTACGCGTATATAGTTACGCAGACGTGAAAGCCGGTATACATTTTGTAAAAAAAAAATGTGATTATTGATAACGTTATCGTGAATCAATCAGATAAGACGGGTCCGACGACACGCATGATTTTTCATGACAGAATTTCTCCTGTGACCGAAGCATCGAGAGTTTTTTTTTTTAATCCTAGTGAATACTTTTTTTTTATCATCCCCAAGTACGTGAGTCAAAGTTACGTGTTTCGAGGCACCGTGAACCAAGATAAAGGGAGACGTGAACGCAGAATGAATTTGAACGTATACAGCACCATGCTCGGAGTAGCTTTCATGTACGACTGTCCGATGCTGTCGTACGAGCTTTTGCCAAGGAGCCTCAATAACAGCCAAGGTCTCTGGAGCCAAGTATTATATACGTCGATATTAAGATTAAAGGAGACGATCGCATGTAATCAACCCGTAAACTGGAACTATGTAATAGCGCGTATGTAATACGTGTGGTGCGTGGGCGTCGCGTGAAGGAATCCCTTTTTTCTTTTTTTTTTTTTCGTACAGTTCGCGTGTATCCAGAGATTTCGTGTCGGCGACAGGAGGGGGAGACTTAAGGGAAGGCGATCGTTAATGGTCCCAGGACGACAGGTAGTGTCCTTTCGATCCTTTTTTTGAGCGTCATTGCTTTTGGTAAGAAAAAATAGGTGGAATTGGGGTGAAAAAGCCGGTATGTAAAAAAAAAAAAAAGACAGGGGGAATAAGAGGAATGATATAAAACACTTCTTCAGGGTTGGTTACCGGCACAGTAACGTAGTTGGTTACCGGCAGGATCTGCTAGACTTTCCGGGTTGCTCGCTTCACTATTCTTTTTTCTTTCTGGTCGACACAACGATCGACTTGCGACAAACTGCGGTCTTGAAAACTTCCTTGATCCTTTCTCTGCTGGTAGTTCAGCCGCGAGAGCGCACCGGTGGCTCGTATCCAGCCTCAAATCTTTGGGGGGGTGGAGGGCTGGAAACTTATTGGGGACCAGTTGCCACCTTGGGTATAATAACTTGGGATGGTACTGAGAGAATTTTCGAGAAGTGCATCCATCTTGTATTGGGAGATGAGAGGACTTGCTAGGTGTAATTAACCCTTGCTGAATATTCTAATGCTATTTAGGGAAGTTAAGGCTCGAAGCAGGGATGCAACTCTGCTAGCACTTCTGTGACGTTATAGCCGTTACGCGGTACCTGTGCACTTTGGGTCACACGGTATTCGCCCATTATTTATACATACGTGTATATATAGATATATAGGCAGTTGGATGCAGATACTCCATCCCCTTCCATACGTGCCCCAATTATTTACTATATAGGGATGCGCATGGCTACCACCACCTCGGAGTCCTTAATCATCGATATTTACTATAGGAATATAGAACAAGCTCAGCGTGATATGGTAAACACAAGGTTGGCACGTCTTGCGTCCACACGGTCAGTGTGGTATTTGCAGGATGGGGTAGTAGGATTTTTTATTTTTCTTTTATTTTTCACTTCCCCTCGTCTTCCCTTTTGCCCCTCTCCGCCCACTCCTTTTTATTTTTCAACCCAAATTAAAGCACCGTAATACAAATGGCCCGTGTGTCCGCTTTTGTGTTGCAGTTTTTCCAAATGTGCCCGCCGCGCCGGGAATGCCGTGCCAGGGTGAAGACAGTGAGTATTCGTTCGATGAGCTTTACTTTTTTTTTTTTTTCTTTTCTTTTTTTACGTTCATTCCTTTCCACCCTTTAACGCACAGAGTATATTTTTCGTTTTTTTTTTTGTTTGTAATATCTTACGCCAAGGTGAATTAGATGCGACGATGTAAAAGGCCAGACCGCAGTGTAGCTGTAGAACTTTTTGAAATTTTGTTACTTTCTCGGCAATATCGAGCACTGTTTATATGACCTCTGATCTCTACGTTGTCGTGTGCGGTAGGTTGTCGATTGTAAATAGAGAGTTTACAATTGATAAATATGTCCGGCGAAGTATGGATCAGGGTGGAACAGCCGCGATGCTTTTGCGAATTTTTGGGTGTGGTACGGTACTGTGTACTTTAAAATTGTATAAATTAATGTGAACATATAATATTTTGAAAAGTGTTTATATACAAGAGTCAATTTCTATTTTCAAGGGAGCATCTACAGACGAGGTGCCCGCAGATGGAGGAAGCTCTACCGGGTGAACGGTCACATATTTCAAGCAAAACGTTTCAATCGAGTATGTATTTCCTTTGGCTTATTTGTCATCTGATTTATTAGCTTGTCAAATGAATGTATCGTTAAATCGATTAAATTTGTATTTAAAAAAATTCTTTTCTTCCTAGAGAGCCTTTTGCGCCTTTTGTCAAGATCGCATCTGGGGTCTTGGTCGTCAGGGCTTCAAATGTATCCAGTGCAAGCTGTTGGTTCACAAGAAATGTCACAAAGTCGTTCGCAAGCCATGTCTGAACTTACAGCAACAGCAACAATCGTCGGAACAACAGACGACAGATAGAAATGGCGATCAACAACAGCCAGATTCGCCCCAGCGTAGTCCTGCGGCGCATCTCGAGGATGAGACAACGGAATCCTCAGTGGCTGAAGATCCTTCCCGTGCCCGTAAAGAAACTTTGAACTATTATCGTTATTAAGCATTGTCCTTAGCGACGACACAATTTTTATTATCATTACGGATGCAGGCACAGGAAGTGACGAAGGCGAGGAACTCGCCCTGGATGCGGTATCCGGTGCGGACGGCGCGAACGAAATGCAAAGACAATATTCACTGAGTGACTTCGAGCTGATCAGGGTAATCGGTCGTGGATCTTACGCGAAGGTCCTGATGGTCGAGTTGAAACGTACGAAGAGGATCTACGCGATGAAAGTAATCAAGAAAGCCCTGGTGACCGATGACGAAGACATCGACTGGGTTCAGACTGAGAAGCACGTCTTCGAGACGGCCTCGAATCATCCATTCCTCGTGGGGCTACATTCCTGTTTCCAGACACCCTCGCGCCTTTTCTTCGTCATCGAATTCGTACGCGGTGGCGACCTGATGTTCCACATGCAGAGGCAGCGTCGTCTTCCGGAGGAACACGCACGATTCTATGCGGCTGAGATCAGCTTAGCCTTGAACTTCCTGCACGAAAAAGGTTTCTTTACCTTCGCACCGAAAATTATCCATCTTCTTAGCGTCTCTACCATTTCGTCTTACGACATAAAATTCGTTCCAGGTATTATATATCGAGATCTGAAACTGGACAACGTACTCCTGGATCACGAGGGACACGTTAAGCTCACCGATTACGGAATGTGCAAGGAAGGCGTCAGAGAGGGTGACACGACAGCTACATTCTGCGGTACTCCGAATTACATAGCACCTGAAATTCTACGTGGGGAGGACTACGGGTTCTCGGTCGATTGGTGGGCGCTGGGTGTTCTGCTCTACGAGATGCTGGCTGGCCGAAGTCCTTTTGACATTGCCGGTGCATCCGAGAATCCAGATCAGAACACCGAGGACTATCTCTTCCAAGTGATCCTCCAGAAGACTATACGTATTCCACGATCGTTATCCGTAAAAGCAGCTTCCGTCCTTAAGGGCTTCCTCTGCAAGGATCCTGCTGAGAGACTCGGATGCGGACCTTCAGCCTTCCTCGACATCGTCGCACATTCATTCTTCAAAGCTATTGATTGGGAGATGGTGCGTATTCCCTCTATCAAACATATATGTACTATAGCATATTATATAATACTCCTCGTTATAACGTACAGAGGCATTCTCGTTAAAGGCGTCATTGCCATCTGAATTATTACTGCTTGATTCATACGGGGTGATAAGGGTGAGCAGTCCCTCCCAAGCTTATCTCAAATTGATGTTACAGTTGGAGCAAAAGCAGGTCAGCCCGCCTTATAAACCTCGCTTGGATTCCGATCGTGATTTGGCAAACTTCCCGCCGGAATTCACGGACGAGCCTGTGCATCTCACTCCTGACGATCCGTGAGTCTTTTGCAGATACATTCTTCCCTTCTTTTTCGTTCTCTCGGTGGAGCCAAGAAAAAAAATTTAACCTTCTCATTATTGAACGTCCTATGTCAGACTCTAAATTCTATCCGTCATGCACACTAACGCCATCCCACTGAGATCTTTGAATTATCCTGAATCCTGTGTCTAAATCACATTTCAGCCGAGTCATCGACAAGATCGACCAAAGCGAATTCGAAGGATTTGAATACGTGAATCCTCTTCTGATGTCACTGGAGGATTGCGTGTGACAGGAGTCGACCTTTCTCCATTATCAAGAACCTCAGGAAGATCAGCAACGGCGGCGGCGGCAGTGCTATTTGTACGATCTACAAGAGGAATTGGCGATGCTCAATCTCGATCCGTGTCCGGGCTCTGATGGCTACGCGCGACACGATAATATTTTTGCGACGCACTACCCAATGGAGAACGAGAACGACAATAATTATAACGAGTACCGGCTGCCGCCGCCATTTCCATTCCAATACGAGAGTCCAATCTGCTCTCGATCGCTGAGCATCGCCGAGGTTGCCTATAGCAACGGCAACAACAATCTGAACTACGACGAGAATGATTACGACGACGTCGAGGAAGAGAGTCCGAGAAAGGGCATCCTGCAACAGATGTTCTGCCTTCCGTTAAACTAGACTAAATATCGAAATATCCCGAAGAAACAGAAGTATCATCGCTCCGCGTTACGTTGAAAGTTCATTCTAATTAATTCCTCGTTGCTCTCCTTTAATTCGGGTACCTTGGCACGTGAACGAGGAGAAGAAGATATAATTAAAAGTACGGAATATCGCTGCTAGTTAGCAATCATCCTAAGATACAACTGCAAAGCCAAATGGCGTTCGCGAAATTGGAATTGGCTGAGTATTCACTGAATATCCCGAGGGAATTGGTGCTCCTTCGAATACATATAATAACTATATAGATATATTTTTCTCTTTCCCTAGCTAGCGTATCCAACTCTCTTTCGCTTGGTATTGCATAATAGCCAAGCTGAATAACAAAGTTAAAAGTGTACACTCAGAGATGGAATTAGGTACCTGACTGCACCATTTGAATTTCAATTTTTTTTTTGTTTACTTTTCTCTAAGTTTCACAAATCCTTCATCATTGCGTCACGCCATCGTTCCATGAATAACGTGATATAGAAATTATTTAACGATCTGTTTATCGCAACGATGCGATTGTTTTTGCGCTCGCGATGAAAAAAAAAAAATATATATCAACGTCACCGAATCGCACCACACGCAGCTCCTCGTTCCCAATGTAAACACCGTTGAGGATTTTATATAGACGGAGTTTCGCGGGTCTCATTGAGAATTGGTAGGTTTCCATAGAAATTTCGAATTTTACGTATATTTTTTAATAATCCTACAATTTCCGATCTAATGAAAAACTTTTACGTACGAGATGATCATTGCCAATCGTCATAATTGATATTTTAACGAGAGGAATGACTCATTTGCAAATTGAATCGAACTAACGTTTTCAGGCGATATTATTATATCGTGATGCCTAGGACGTTCCTTTGATAAAATCATACATGGAGTATCCTCAATGAGATCCCTCGTGTGTCTCCCAAATATACGGTATAGACTAATATACATAGCCCTGTACATAGGAACGAAGTACAGAGTCCTGAGATACGTACGAGGTCTCGGGCGTATTTAAGACTCTCGAAAGACGGGACTTTAGTTATATTTGTAATATAATAATATAATGACTACTATATAATATAACGTATTGTAATGAATACCGCGACGTGCATTGGCGCTCGTACGATTCGTTCTGATTTGCGTCGGATTCGTCAAGCCATAGTAAAAAAAAAAAAAAAAACGAGAGCAAATGAGATAACGAATACAAAATATTATTCGTAAAATCCCACGAAATCTTTGCTATTGTCTGGACGCTTGACAGACATCGATTGCTGATTAGTTCTTAAAAAAAAAAAATGCAAATGTTTCGCAATTATTGCCAAATATTATTGGCAACCCTACCAAAGGTTTACGTCATGCCGATTCATATTACCTAGGACAAGCCATAGTAAAAAAAAAAAAAAAACGAGAGCAAATGAGATAACGAATACAAAATATTATTCGTAAAATCCCACGAAATCTTTGCTATTGTCTGGACGCTTGACAGACATCGATTGCTGATTAGTTCTTAAAAAAAAAAAATGCAAATGTTTCGCAATTATTGCCAAATATTATTGGCAACCCTACCAAAGGTTTACGTCATGCCGATTCATATTACCTAGGACAGGAAAAAAGTATTCGTATTTACCGATTGATCGTTCTCGAAATATCGAAATTTGTATTACCGTTCGTCCCGTCGCAAGGGGGGTCAAGTTTTCGCATAATTTCCGAATTTATCGTTAGGATCAACGGAAGTTAAACTGATAAAACAACGAAGGGAAGACGAAAAGTTTCTCTTCGCGCTTAAATCTACATACGCGTTTGACTTTAGGCAACGAGCAAGGATTGGTATGGGCTTTTATAAAGGGTGGGCTCATACCTTCTCTTTTTTTCGATTTAACCAATTATCCTTATAATAATTCCGATTTGGGAAGAGCCTTTATATACGAATAGATATATAATTTTTGTTCTCTTAAATTCACTGACGGACAGAGCAATTGGAACGACGCAAGTGAATTGGCCGCAATTAATAATCAGCGCATCTTTCCCGTCAACTACGTGATCTAGAACTGACTAATTGCATTTAATTGTTATACGAAGTATGTACGAGATATCAAAAGTGAAATAAATGCGCTTAATACCGTAGGACTTGTCACATGATTCAATAGGACGAGACCGAGGAAGTGGAAAGTTTATGATATCAAATGCAAATACAGATAATTAGTAATATTTTTATGTATTACTGATGGCCTGATTATTGTACCGATTAATCATTGTGTATTTGGAATTGTATCGAAGCGTTACTACGTGTATGCGGCCGTTGATAGTATTTTTATAAAGTCTAATTTATGTTTTAATCATGATTATCGATTATGATAGAGGTCTTATATATATATTGATGATAGAGTAATACATATAATAGTGTCTACATTATACGTTGAAGTATTAAACGCTCTATCACGAGGAACTAGAGAATGAGGGAAAGCAAAGTATCATATAAAAAGAAGAAAAAAAAGCAAGAATAATGTCAAACGAAGGAATTAATAAGAGACGTACATTTGTTCCTTGATTAGGCAGTCTAAAGAGAATTAACGAGGAGAGCGAGAGGGAGGGAGGGGAGAGAGAGAGAGAGAGAGAGAGAGAGAGAGAGAGAGAGAGAGAGAGAGAGACAGTACGTGTAACTGCAAAGAAAGAATTGATAGCTGCAGGAAATCTGTAAATAATTATTTATCGTCCAAGGAATCGAAAGGGACGAGAGTGATAGGGCGAAAGAATTATTACAAGAACAACAAGAACAACAACAAATGCCTCTCAAGTAATTCCGAACGATATATTATAAGCGATACTTATCCTAGAATGTATTTTAAAAGATAAAGCAGGTTGTTATAAAATATACCGGAGTAACGTTGAGTAATGGGGGAGGGGGGGGGGGCGA